ATGATTTCGACTAGCTCTGCCACTGCCTATCATACCCTAAAACTATAACCTCATTTAATTGGACAACCTTCTAACTCTGATCCACCCAATAAGTAAGAAACCAGCAAATGGGCATGTCAACCCCGAGAACCCTAAACCTCATAATTAAAAACAACAACATATAGGATAACCAATAACACAAAGCCCTCAAAGAGAAAGTTGCAGCAAAACGGTATATAAAACATCATAACCATAGCAAGTAAGAACCACAAGCAAGGCATCCAAACACGCATCAGCATACGAGCACATCAGCAGTATGTAAAGTAGAGCAAGCAGAGGCAATGTGTCTTTTTTCTCGAATACGCACAAGCATGCATATCATCGCATTAAAGAAGAAGCGGCAAAGAAGCCGGATACAAGGCCTTTCAGCCATTACAACGCTAATCACGAGAATTAGCCTCCACATCCACCATGCACACCCACCCTGGCTACTATGATACATGTTTCCCTAGTCCAACCTCATGCCAATGACAAAAGCCAAGCCACAGAACAACCAAGACACGTCATAACCAACGCCGAGACCTCTACAACAAGACCAAAACCCAAGGCCAACCCAAACCAACGTACCGCCACCCATTTGAGCCAAGAGGAAGTCGGCAAGTGAACGGCAGGGCCCGAGCGGACCTAGGGAAGGTACCATCGTGAGAGCACCGAAGATGGCGTACATTGCGCCCAGGAGGCCCATGCCCAGAGTGGCAGCCGACTGACTCAAGCCACACCAACAAGACTCCTCGAGCAACAAGGCGGCGCCTTCAAGAAGGTAACGACGCCTTGACGCCACCGCTGCCGTCCGGTCCGGAGGCCAAACCATGACAAGGGTTTCCCCCAAGCTCGAGGAAGGGAGTCCGATCGGGTCCAACACAACGCCTCCAGGGAGGAAACGACGCCCGCGAGCGTCACCGTTGTGAGCCTCGTCTCGAAGCAGGGATTTCTCCCAACCCAGATCAGAGAACCCAACGCCCACCGAAGCCACAAGAGCAGACCAACCACCGCATCTGGAAGAGTCACATTTCGCATCACAGTAGCCTCCGCCACTAGTCCTACCAGATCCGGCCAAAGTCGCCGCTACCAGCACACCACCTCGAGCGATGCTGCTGTGCCGCCTCCCTCGATCTGTGGCACACCGCCACCATCACGGACTCGTGGATGCCAGCCGGAGCAGCCATGCCCCAGCCAGCCCGCCTTGGAAGCCGCCGCCGCCGCCAGATCTGGGTCGGTCGGACCACAGAAACGGGGCCATCCCGTAGCACCGACACCCACAGAGGCAATATGTAAAATAGAGCAAGCGGAGGATCAGATATAGAAAAGGCTAGACAGAACAACCAACAACAAAGCATATAGTATAAAGTTTTTTTATGGTAATACATGTCTCATTCATATTATAAAAATTAAAGTAGAAGTTACGTAAGGACTGACATGACAAAACTGAAAAGATAGCAGAACATCTCTGAGCTTGACACCAACGTCCGTCACCTGCCTCTGGCACCACCACAGCAACCATCGAAGTAAAGAATGACGGATCACCTTCTCACTCGAGCTCAACGCGGCTCCATCACTGATATGCAACTTTGCGAAAGAGGTTGGAGCAGACATGACTGTAAATAAATATAATAAGCACATGCATTTTAGCCCCGGACAAAAAAAGGACGCATACCCAACTCTCAAAACAAGCCATCAAACAAAAGCCCACCACGGGAGCTCTTCTCAGCATGAGACAAATACTGTACAAGCACGAATCTCAATGCATTAATTAAACGGCTATGCTTGAGACTAAATTAAATCTCAGCTAGCTGAATAATAGCAATCCCGATTTAAAAAATATTACAACCTCCGTCCCTAAATAGATGACATATAAATTCAATAAAAAAATTCAATGCTTGCTTAGTTTGACGAAGTATATATACAAAAAATATTAAGATAAAAAGTATAATCAGTATCAATATATCAACCATTAGATTTATTTTCATAATCTATTTGTCCAATATTGTAGTTGTTGATATTTCCTTCTAGATATTTGGTCAAACTCAGAAAGAATAGACTTTCTGATTGGATTTATACGCCATGTATTTTGGGACAGAGGGAGTAAAAGTGTATATAATTTTTTTACTGATGTATATAGAAAATGTTCCTAATGTATACAGAAAATGTGCAATGTATATGCAAACAAATTGACATAAAAGTGTTTAAAACAGTATTAATCATTTATTTAAAATATGTTAAACTTGTATATAAAAAAATGTTTTGGATGCATATAAAAAATACAATGTGTACGCAAGAAAGTAAACATAAAAAATATATGTTTTAGAAGACGTTAATCATGTATTTTGAAAAAGTTAAATGTGTGTATAAACAATGTTCTTTATGTATACAGAGAATGTAGAATGTGTATGAAAAGGTTGACATCAAAAATATATGTCTGGAAAAAAAGGTAATGTATTGCAAAAAAAAAATCGAATGTGTACACAAAAAATGTCCTTCGTGTATTAGTTAATAGTTTCAAAAACTAGCTAGACTCGGCCGTCCAGATACCCATATGCACGAGTAAACTTCCTTGTCTCGTTCCACTCGTCGCCTAGCACATCCCAGAGTATGCCGTCTCCGTTGTGCGTCCGCCGGCGTGCTCCATTTCAGCTCGTCCGTAGTAACGTGATTCCCACTCAGCTCAAATGGATCCATATTGAACGCTTCACCAGCCAAACCATTCGTCGTATATACTCCGGCGGTACAAGACGGTCATCAGTGCCTCACTCCACCCTGCTCCTGCCCGTGCCCATCGATGGCTCCGCCGTTCCCACCCCTCCTCCTGGCTCTCCTCGCGGCAGCGGCAGCGGCCGTCTCGCTCGCGACAGCGGCGGCGGTGTTCCCCGAGGAGGCGCTGCCGACCAGCTCGGGCTACCTCTCCGTCGACCCGTCCGCCAACGCCTCCCTCTTCTACGCCTTCTACGAGGCCAGCGCCCCGCTCGCCGCCACGCCGGCCGACACGCCGCTGCTCCTCTGGCTGCAGGGCGGGCCCGGCTGCTCGGGCCTCATCGGCGACCTCTTCGAGCTCGGCCCCTACCTCGCCAACGCGCCCGACGGCAGCTCGCTCACCCGCAACCCCTTCGCCTGGAACCGCCGCTTCGGGCTGCTCTTCCTCGACAGCCCGCTCGGCACCGGCTTCAGCGCCGCGCCCTCGCCCGCCCTCATCCCCAGGGACCAGCCCGCCGTCGCCGTCCACATCCTCGCCGCGCTCCAGTCGTTTTTCGACGCCAACACGCCCGCGTTCCGCAAGCGGCCCTTCTTCCTCTCGGGCGAGAGCTACGCCGGCAAGTACGTCCCGGCCGCCGGGGCGCACATATTCGCCGCCAACCCGACGCTGCCGGCGTGGCGGAGGATCAACCTCCGCGGCGTGGCCATCGGGAACGGGCTCACGCACCCGGTCGCGCAGGTGGCCACGCACGCCGACTCGGCCTACTTCATGGGCCTCGTCAACGCGCGGCAGCGGCGGGAGATGGAGGCGATGCAGGCGGAGGCGGTGGCGCTCACGGAGGCCGCGCGGTGGCGGGAGGCGGGTGACGCGCGGGCCCGCGTGCTCGACCGGCTGCAGAACGTCACGGGCCTCGCCACGCTCTACGACTTCGCCAAGCAGCGGCCGTACGCGTCGGCTGGCGTCGAGAAGTTCCTCAACAGGGCGGAGGTCAAGGCAGCGCTGGGCGCGCTCCCGGACGTGACGTGGGAGGGGTGCAGCGACGCGGTGGGGGAGGCGATGCAGGATGACGTGATGAAGAGCGTGCTGCCGGAGGTGGAGGCGCTTCTCCGGCAGACGCGCGTGCTGCTGTACCAGGGCATCCGCGACCTCCGGGACGGCGTCGTGTCGCAGGAGGCGTGGATCAAGGAGCTGCGCTGGGGCGGCCTGCGCGCGTTCCAGGACGCCGAGCGCGCCGTGTGGCGGATCGGCGAAGGGGAGGAGCAGGAGCTCGCCGGGTACGTGCAGCGGTCGGGGGCGCTGACGCAGGTGGTGGTGTACGGCGCCGGGCACCTCGTGCCAGTGGACAACGGGCGCGCGGCGCAGGAGATGATTGAGGGATGGGTCACGCAGACGGGTGTCTTCGGAAGCGGCATGAGGTAGCGCGACATGTTGCCGGCCGAGGGCTTGATGGAGCTGGTCTTTTGCCGTGACGGAAACTGTTAGTAGTACTGATTTTTATTCAGTATAAAAATGGTTACATCTAGGTGTTACCCTTCTCTCGCTCCCTTTGACACCCTCCATGCAGCACGGACATCAAAGCATCTCCAACAGCCGCGGTAAAAAGCGCGCGTGGTAAACCGAGTCTTTTGGGTGCGCGGGGACGTTTCGGCGCGCTCCACCGGTGGCGGGAAAATCGCTCGCGCGGGAACGGTTTGCGCGCGGGGGGGAAAAGGCGGCAGGTCGCGCGTTTTTTTTTTTGCCGCACCGTTTCCGGCGCGCCTATAAAATGCGGCGCGCGCCACACGCCTATTGCACACGCTTCTCTTCCTTTTCCGTTGCCACACGCCCCTCCACCGCTTCCTCGGTTGCTTCCGCTGCCACCCGCGCCACCGCTCCAGCGCCCCGCCACCATGCCGCCGCGCCGCCGAGGAGTGTCGGGCTACCGCGGCGTTCGCCAGCGCCCCAACGGTGGGTTCTACTCGGAGATACGATCCGGCCAACTCCGGCTCGGCCTCGGCACCTTCGAGGCGGCGCACGAGGCCGCCCGCGTGTACGACGCGGCGGCGTGGCGCCTAGGCAGGCCGCGCCAGCAGATGAACTTTCACGATGTCCACACGCTGCAGCAGGCGCTGGACGTCGCCCCGCCGCCTCGTCTTCGCACGGCACAAGACCGTGCGGAGCACGCTGAGCGGCAGAACCGCCTCCTCGTCGCCCATGAGGACGAGCGGGTCATGGCGGAGTGGCGCCAACAACACCCGGAGGATGTATCCTACGAGCAAGCCTACTGGGCAAGGCGCCGCAAGGAGGAGACGCAAAGGCGCCGCGCTGAGCGGTTGGACAGGCGTCGGCGGAAGGCCCTGGCGCTATCCCAGTGCGATGTAGTTGAGAATGGTGGTGAGACGATCTTTACATCTGATGATGATCGTTGGGAAGACATGTGGCTCGATACCTTGGATCAGACCAGCAAGGATGGCGACGATGACGATGACGATGACGACTGGGAGTAGGCTGTAGCTGCACTAGTAGTTTTTATCTATGTCCTTGCACTATCTAAATAATTTTTATCTATCTATGCTATGGAACTATGTAAAATATCTATGTATCGTTTTTTCTATTTATGAATTTTATTAAAAAAATGTACGCATTGTTTAGCGCGCGCTGCATTTTAGCGCGGCCGCTGGAGCTACGCGCGCGCGTTCAATTTTGACGCGTCTGCTGAAGCCACCGCTGCCGGCCGCGCCAAACCAGGCGAACGGCGCGCGACGCGTTGCGCGGCTGTTGGAGATGCTCTCAGAAGGACCGTGTTAAACCAATCCATCGCAAGGGCTCACACAAATTATGAGTAAGCCAAACGAATTATTGTAAGGAACGTCATGACAGCATAACAACCATTAGAAGAAGAGGATATAAGCGGAAAGCATGAGGCAGATTGAACGCGCAAGAACTATTTTGGAAGTGCTGTACATAAAAAATTGCATATCTTACAAACTTTTTTTTGAGAGATTCGAGCGCAGGTCTGATCTTACTGTTAGTGCGTTTCTTTTTAACCCGGGTTAGTAACTAAGTATCTGACTGGATCACTGAAAGTTGTTAATTTCGTTTTGCGCCCAGAATCTTTGTGTGACAGCTGCGTACCGACCAGTTAGGGAGCTCCTGAAGAAAGAAACGATGAAAGAGATTGTAAAGGTTACTTATCATACTACAGTATTTGAGATTACCATGGTTTTAATTATTATGAGGTGTTTGGCTGTCACTAAAAACTATGGTTTTAATACTTCAGTATTTGCAAAACCATGGTATTTTCTCTGTTTTTGAAAAAGAACCATGGACCTCTTTTTAAAAAACTGAGCTGGCGAAAGAAACGCCTCGTCGTCATCTTCCGCCTTGCTCCAAGCCGTTGTCACCTCCTCCTTCATCCTCATGTTGCTTCTGCTTGACGACCTTGTTCTGTTGAATCTCGTCCGTGAACTCCTTCGCTCAACCTTTGCCTCTGATGTGCTGTCATGGTGAACTGTCCGATAGCTGATCGCCAGTATGTCATGCACCTCTTCATGCCGGCATTGATCCCTGCCTCCCGTTGTTTCCCCCTCCAGCCCCGTTACACTAGCCGTGCGGAACAGAGCGAGCAAGTCCTATTGGACTGCTGGTGGAGTTTGCTACCCAGGCATGCGGCTGCAAAGCTGAGCTGCTTTTTTTTCCAACCGGGCTCACACCCCTTTCCATTAATTTTGCAATCAACGGAAATACATCAGCCTTTGTCGATCATGTTCACAAGATAAGCACCGAGCTAGCTAACAAAAACTACCCAGCAAAAGGAGACTGAAAGGGGCACGAGCGAGTTGGCGCATCGACAGGAAACCCACTGCATGACAGCCCTAGAACGGACTATCTGCTATGGGGCGAAAACCTGACGACACTTCAACCACTACTCGGACCAAAAGCACCTGTCTAGACCATAGGACTCTAGAGAGGATGAATCAGTATCATCAAAAGAACAACTCCAGCGGGCATCAGACCCCAGTGGATATAGGCCAATCTAAAGATAACAGGATTAAGACAACTCCCCAATCTGAATACCATCCCCACCTCCCAAGAGCAGCCTGCCGCGAGCATATGATCTGTCCGCCAGGGCAGCCGCCACATTAGCCAGCCTCTTCACCCCCACTTGGAATCTCGTCTGGTCTTCCTCCTTAAGCAGCCCTGCCCAGTATAACATAAAAGAACAGGCAATGAAGACAGCCTCCAAAGGAGTACGAGCATTATACTTGTCAAAAGTAGTTTTGCTGCGGAGGCACCAAATCGCCCAACACACGGCTGCAATAATCATCATATAAAATTTCTTCCCCCTTGAGAAAAACTTATACAGCCAAGCAAAGCACTGCCAAATAGACCTGGGGGCACAAGAGACCCCCGCAGTCAGCCCCAGCACGCCCCAGACCGTACGGGCGAGTGAACAAGTGAAGAATAGATGATTAGAAGTTTCCACCTCCGTGCAAAACGAGCACATAGGATTTCCCGGCCAATTCCTATGTCGCATGTTATCGCGTGTAAGCACAACATTTTGGAATAGCTGCCACAGGAAAAATTTTATTTTCAAGGGAATTGCAGCTTTCCACACCTTTTTATAGTTAGGTCCAGATAAGTTTCTCTCCAGCCACTCATATACAAATTTAGTGGTGAATTTCCCCCCACTATTCAAGGACCAGGAGACAATATCAGAATTCTCATTCAAAGACTTTTTTTTAGCCTCGCACACCACCCAGTCCCATTGCTCCTCCAATGCACCAAACAACCTGCGTCTAAAAACTAGATCGTAGTTGTTGGCTACAAAAGAAGCAATGGTGCAATCTTGATTTTGACAAATGTCATATAAGACAGGGAAACACTCTCGTAATGTGCAGTTATCTATCCATGGGTCGTGCCAAACCCTAGCCAAACCTCCTTTGTTAATGATGATTTTCCTCCCAGCCATATAAGTATCTTTGACCTTCATAATGGATTTCCAGGAAGGGGAATCAGAAAAGTGGCTACGGATATTCGCAACGGTTTTGTTCCTGAAATATTTTGCTCGGATAATGCGTTGCCATAGCCCATCGCAAGTTTCCAACTTCCACCACCATTTCACAAGGAGGCTAATGTTCTGCTTGTGGAGATCTTTTATTCCCAAGCCACCAATTCTCTTTGATCGGCAGATCCTATCCCATCTAACCATGTGATAAGCACGCTTCTTATTCTTCCTCCTCCAAAAGAAGCGTCTGCGATGCTTATTAATTTTTTCAATGAAGGTTTTGTTAAAAAGAAACATGGACATCAGGTACGAAGGAATACCATCCAAGCTAGAATCTAGCAAAGTGAGTCTAGCACCCGAGGAGGCTGCGTATGCCACCCATGCATCCAGTTTTTTGACCATTTTAGCATCCAAGAAATCTAGTTCGATGTTCTTAAGAGTGGAATAGGTTACTGGCACTCCCAAGTACCTCATGGGTAAGGTGCCCACACGGCAACCAAATATCTCTGCATAAATCCTGTCAGTTTCGTTATCCCCTCCCACCACAAACACTTCACTCTTATCATAATTGATTTTCAAACCAGACATGAGCTCAAAGAGATAAAGCAACAATTTAGCATTAGCAGCCCTGTCCGTGCCATGTTCAAAGCACAGGACGGTGTCATCAGCATATTGGAGGATGCCCACCCCTCCCTCGATTAGGTCCGAGGCCAATCCTTTGATAAGGCAGTTTTTTTGGGCAGCAATAACCATTTTGGTTAAACATTCTGCTGCAAGGTTGAATAAAAATGGAGAGTGAGGGTCACCTTGCCGCACCCCTTTAGCACTCTGGATATAAGGCCCAGTCTCATCATTGATTTTAACACTCACCGTGCCATTCCTAAGGATTTGCGACACCCACCCACACAATTTTGAATTGAACCCACGTTTAGCATGACAATCTAGTAAGAAGTCTCAATTCACTTTGTCGTAGGCTTTTTCAAAGTCGATCTTAAAGATCACACCCACCTCCTTTTTTATATGAGTATAGTGCAACACCTCATGTAAGGATAATATACCATCCACTATATGTCGTCCTTTAATAAAAGCATTCCGCTGAATGCTGAAAAGCTTGTTAGCAAATTTCGCGGCCCTGAGATCCATGACTTTCGTGATCAATTTATATGGGCACCGTAGCAAACAAATAGGCCTATACTGCTGGATTTTTCTTGCATCAACTGTTTTAGGCAACAGTGTAATAATCCCGTAGTTTAGTCGTTGAACATCTAATTTTCCCTCATAGAACCACTCAAAAAGGTTGAACAGTTCTGTTTTCACAACCTCCCAGCAATGCTGGTAAAATTCCACCGGTATATTATCCGGTCCCGGGGCTCGATTTGGTTTCATCGCAAACAGTGCTTCTTTAACCTCCTTAAGTGAAAAGGGACGAGTC